TTTTGAAATTTATAATTTTGAAAGATGTTCCAGATTGTTCTGACTTTGTACCACATTGTTCCAAAGAAATATTGCTTCATTCGAAACGGTTTTCGAATAAAACAAAAAAAATGATTTTTTGAGCTGGCACCCCACTTTTCGAAAATCGAACATTCTGATACCGCAATAGATTGTTCTAGTTGTTCCAAACATTGTTCCAAAAGGACAAATCCGTAAGTTGAATTATAAGTCCAAAAAATGAAAAAAATGTTTTTGACCTGGCACCCCATTTTTTGAAAATAAAGCATTCCGATACCGATATAGATTGTTCTAGTTGTTCCAAACATTGTTCCAAAAGCACAAATCAATAAGTTTAATTATAAGCCCGAAAAATTAAAAAAAAGTTTTTTGACAAACAGTCTATCGGACCAAGAGTAAACTTATACTATCTTTCTTGTTCCAACCGAGATCTTTTTGTTCTGAGTTGTTCTAGGCTTAAGAATTATAGTTTTAGAGTATGAGACTCGTAGCGTCATCCGTTCTCCGAAAATTCGAAAAAAAATCGATTTGACAGCACCCGACGTCAAGAGAAAACACATGCTTCCTTTCTTGTTCCAACTGAGATCTTTTTGTTCTGAGTTATACTAGGCTTAAACGACGAAGCAATTTCACTTTATTTTGTCATGACATTTTGTAATTATTTCCGCCAATTTTCCTATAATAAAGATTAATTTTTGTAAGAAATCATCTTTTTCTTGAATTTTTGTCACCTCAGAAATATATTTCAATCATCCTTATTTTCAATCATCCAAATAATTATACTTTTTTAAATCAGTATATAGAACTTTTTTTTTTAAGAAAATAGTTTCATCTAAAAAAACCTGAAAATATTTTTGTTAATCTCAGTTGGAACAAGAAAGGAAGCATGTGTTTTCTCGGGTGCTGTCAAATCGACTTTTTTTTCGAATTTTCGGAGAACGGATGACACTACGAGTCTCATACTCTAAAACTATAATTCTTAAGCCTAGCACA